CCACTGGGTTGTCACTGGTACTGTTGGTGATGTGTCTGTCTATGTCAAATAATACGATGAGATGAGAAACCCCTGGAAGGAAGAACAGATAAAGTCTGAAAAGGACAAGGACATGAAACAGGAATAGAGGCTTGTCTTGGCTCCGACTGTGACAAACGTGCTACCAATGAGGAAAGGATAGAATGTTGATGCACAGACTCCACATGTTATTCCAAAAGTCCCAGGTACATAATTGAAAACATCCCACCAAAGTAAAGGGGCCATACATAAATCTCTAAGATAAGGGAGTGGCAAATAAACCTGAGACAAGGCCGCATCTCTACCCAAAATATCCCAACAACAGAGAAACCACATGTGTAAAGCAAGATCCAAAGACAACAATCTAGCCAATGTGGAGGTAATAAGGGAGAGGCTTTCCCTCGAAAAACCTTCAGGGTCTTGGTGGATCATTTCAGAAAGGAGAAGGATTGTAGATAAGTACCACGGAAAGGAAGTAAGGGTAAGATGAAGGCGTAAAAACTGGGTATGGGTTAAATCCACAGGAAAATCAGGGACTGCCCCCCCCACACAGATAAAATCAACCCCAACTGTTGAGTCGAGAAACAAACAGAAAGTCTGTTAGTAAGCTAATTCACACTGATCCATAGTCTATGGAGGGCGAGGCATGCTGGCACCCTCAACCAATTGTGAAGCAAATTGCTCAGCATGAACCCTAATATCCAGGGAGGGTGGGAAAACTAAATATGGAGAAGAAAAACTCTTGTGCAACCCAAAATGAGGGGGATCGTAGGAAATCACGGAAATGGATAAAATATCACATACCTGAGAAATCATGTCTAAAAATGCGGTATTTGGCCGAGCTGATTCCACAGGTGAGGCATAGGAAGACACAGTAAAACCCGGTAGTGGAAAAAATATCCATCAGCTCAAACAGGATTGGCTTGCTCAGAAGGAAGTGGAGCAAGTTCAGAAGAAGAAGGTTGATACATATTACAATCAATCTCACAGTGGATGATCACAGATAAATCCAACAACAGGTCTCCCCCACCTGCAGCCTGTGAAGTAGTGGTAGTAGGAGGTATGATACTCGAAGTAGTAACATGAACCCTAGAATTCATTGTAGAGAAATGTATCAAACAAAAGTGTTTGATTTAAAAAATTCAAGTGTGAGAAAAAAACAATAAAGACAGGGAAAAGAAGTTAAAGTCAAATACTTTTTTAATGTAAAGAAAAAAAATTTATGAAGAAATCCCTCTTTGGAAATTAAAGTCACAAATGCGAATCGCACGAAGAGCACCAAAAGAAAAAAAACGTCTGAACACGAGTACTAACAAATAACAAGTGATAGTTTGTTAGAATTGAATAGAGGGAGTCACATGCATTATGAGAGTATATTGTACTCTTATTGTTGGAGGGTTGTCACATGATGATTTGCATGAAAGATGCATTGGAATCAGTCAATTCCAATTGAGGGGAGATAAAAGGCTTGTGGCATGCATAAATTTGTTTTTACATATAGAGGCCAGCACTGAATGAGAATAGCTATTTATGTGAGAGGAGGCAAGTATCTATAAGAAAGACATTTTCAGTATAGGAAAATTATAACTTTTGGTCTAAAAAATATAATTTCTAATCATAATATTACCTAGATCATCACACTTCAGACTTCAATGGTTATAATGACTTTATCCACATAAATACTTTAGGAAGACTAACAGGATTATGTAATTCAAAATGAGTAATTTTGATTGGTTATAAACATGTACTTAACCCTATGGTGCCTGGATTTGCTATCAGATAGAAGGTGATGCCCTTCTTGTCACATTTCATTATTTGAAATCTGAGAAAAATGTTTTTAAAAGTATGTAGTTTCAGAAAAAAAAATTAATTTTTACCCTTTTTTTACTATTTCTAATAAAAATTCGTCATTTCATTTAGTTACTTGCATTTGAATCCTGAATAGTTCACCTGCAAGGCAATTTTTATATGAAGTATTAAAATACTATTTTTAATCTTACAGTTTCACATTTCATTTGCATAATCTGTAGAGCCTCATAAATGAAGGTAAAAGGTTATATTTTATTTTATATTTTCTCTACCATATGACTAACTATTATTATCAACATACAGTGCAATAAAATGTTTAAAATTAACAAATGGAAATATGTACATACCTTTTAACTCTTCATAGAATAGTCATATTTTTCTTATATGCGTAATTTCATCTTTTTACTTATAGCTTATTTGTAATTTACTTTCAGATTCGTTGTCTTTTATCATTTATGTCAATATGTCAACTGATGCCCATGGGGCTGTATGAAGATATTTCGACAGACTTCCTGCAGTGATGGTGCTTATATATGCCATCTTTTTATAACCTTTCACAATCCAGGCTACAAGTTAAATTTTTAAAAATCATTAAGCCATACAAATACGATATTTAAAATACACGTAATACATAATTAGCTAAAATATAAAGTAAGACCTAAATACAACTTAACTGTCTCTAACTATAGCATATTTAGGTAAGAAACCACTGAAAGTGCTATAGTCAATGAAGCAGACAACAATAGTAATGACAGTTACATTTACTACAATACAAAAACTGTGTGCCAATTTCAAATTGAACATTGATGGAGTGTAGTGTAAATGGAGCTCTTTCTAATGACTATATACACTTGTGTCAACTAACTACATGTACGTTGTAGATCTCAAGGCAAAGTATAGAGGGTGGGCATGGCACCCATCAATGTTTCCCAGAGAATACAGCTGCAGACTTTTGATCTCGCGTGTCAGATAGTTCAAACACATGTACATTAGTTTCTGGATTCTCATGTACACTGCCATTTTATTTGGATAAGAGTGAACTGCTGCTAAAGTTGAAATTTTTGTATAGCATATGGTTCATATGATATAAAAGCTGCAGTTTAACTATTTTGTTAAATGTTTCCTTTGAAACAAAGTAATTAAAGCTTAGATAATATAAAAATTCAAATTATAAAACATTATAATGTTAATTTCATTGACATATATTGATAGTGAAGTGATTTAATTAAATTTTGAATGTAACACAGTACCATATACAGAAAAAAATTTAAAAAATGGCACCAGGGAAATAGGGTTAAGAGAAGGAAGCATAGATAAACAATTATTTTAGTAATTTGAGTTTCTAATTTGTTAAAAACTACAGCCGTTTACTGTTAGAATCATAAGATGTAATTTAAGCAAAAGCCAATGATGATATACAATGTGACACACAAAAATCAATATTTAGATTTTTTTTTAATATTTACTTTTGAACTAAGAAATTAAATGATGTATAATACTAAAATTTGAATTGTAAATTACAATCTAATGCCAAATTTATTGACATACATTTTGAAATATTAGTTTAATAAAATTTTGAATGCAAGTCTACAAAACATGATGACATGTGCTCTGACCCCCTACTTGTATGGAAAGGGTTATTAGCTTCTAAGATGATGTATTTAGAGGGATTGAACTACTGATTTTGTAGTTTTGCCTGTTGCAACACTCAGTTTAAAGAATTGATGAAAACAATTGCGAGAAATCTCTCATTTTCTGTGTAAAATGGTTGGGGGGACCTCAATAGTAGGTAGTGGAATTAATTGCAATATTTTGTATGACTTGTATGCAATTAGAGACCCTGTAGCCAACAAAAGTCATGGATTTACAAGCAATTTCATGTATTAATAGTTTAGCAAAATGTGTTTTTAAAAATTCAAAATTTATGGTATTTTTCTTTCACTGATTACTTACTTAGAAACCAAACTTTACTTGGGTGAAAAAACTATTTCTTAAGTGATTTTTAAGATGTAAAAACTGTGTTTGTAAATTGAAAGAATTAGTAAAATATTTATCTTACAAATAGCACAGTAACTTATGTTACATATGTATCATATTTTATGGTTTGGACTACCTAGGTAGGAGGAAGGTAGCAGATAATGTTGAAAACTATAAGATTTATGCTTTCTTTTAAGAACATGAAAATTTATTTTATTTAAAGAATTAACAGCATAAAATAAATTCATAAAATTGTATAGAATTATTAATAAACTAAATGTAATCTTTTTTTCTTTCCCAGATCATTATTACTCATAATTCTAAGTTGTCAAAAGTATACTTTTAGAACATTCAATCATAACTGTTAAATTTGGTTGTAAATACTGATGTGCAGCACACAATTTCTGAACTATTAGTGTTCATACAACACCTAGAAATTCTTTAGGAGTGTGAAATTTTAATACTTGAAAGTCCTGGAGTTTGTCATTTATGCCTATTTGTGGCATCCAAAAGACCCAGAAATATGATTCATGCATTGGTTAACATTTGATACTTTAACATTCAAACAAAAAAAGAAAGAAAAAGATACTGTCGGATTGCTGGAAATTGTTTGCAGTTGATAGAAAATAATTGGACTGTCCAGTATTCATAAAGGAATGACCAAAAACTAACTGAACAAAATAATGGGGGATCAATCAGAATAATTTGATTTGAAAACATGAAAAATTACAGAAAAAAGAAAACTGACCTTTCTTTTTTGTTGTTTTATACCTTGTATCTTTCTTTTCATAGGATTTTAAAAAACCTTGAATACTTAGATTGAAATCTTGAAAGGCTTTTTTTTTTATACATATCTGATGTGAAGTTATGTGTTTTCACTTTTTTATAAAAATGATTTGCATTAAAAATCTAAAATTTCATAAAAATGAACAATGGCTATGTTAGCATGGCATTTACAGAAAAAGCATCATAACTAGTTAAGTGTTTGTTAGAAGCCATTAGCTATTTTAAAAAAAAGGAAATTACCTTGTTTAGAGATTTTATTTACAATATTAAGATAATAATCAAATATTTTGCAATTACTTGTGTTTGTACTATATTTATGTAACCATTATTACCTTTATCTTATTTTGAGTAAATAAAGAAATGTGGATGTACAGTTAACATTTCTATTTTATAAATTTTCAATTTTCTAGATTCAGATGACTTGAAAAGGAAGATGTTCAGTTGTATTCTTGTTGTGGGTGGAGGTCTGTTATTCTCAGGTGTTGAGACTTGGTTGTACAACAGACTGTCAATGCAGATCCCCATTCTCTACAGAGGCGAACAGTTGGATATCATTACGCAGCCTAAGGTTTGTAATAAGATGGTAAAGCTATATAAAATTGCTTTGATTGGGAGGTTTTTTTCTTACTTCACACTATATTTTAGCATTGTCTTATTATAAGCTGTGGGATGATATAGCAGTTATATATGGAGATACTATTCATTATCAAAATCAGAGAGTAAAATAAATAGGGGGAAGAAAGTGAGTTTTTCTGTTATGTAATGTTTAAGAAGTTTTCTAAATTTATTGTTTTCTCATACGAAACAAAAGGGGGACAAAATATGTAGGTTCTCATTCTCACTTTCCTCTTTACTTTCCGATTATGAACTCTCTTAATAAGAACTTGGTCCCAAGGACCAATTACATGACCATTTTTACTTGTATCTAATTTTAATACCATAACTTTTAATACAGTATGTGTATCTTAACAAAATTTGGCAGACTTTTAGTAAACATTACAAGTCCTTTGTACATAAAATCAGTTTTTAATGAAATATTTTTACTAAAGATTTGTCCGTGAATATATTGAGTCTTTTTTTGATCTGTCCGAGAGCAAAATGAGTTTTATCTTAAGATTAAAAATATTTTTCTTCATCTCAAAAATCTCAAATGTCATTTGCATAATCCCTAAAACCTCCTAAATACATTTCAAACTCTATACTAACTCTATACAAGGTTGGTCAGTTTGACCGACCTCGTGACCACCAAGAAAGAAATCTAAATAAATCTAGATTACCCATTTATTCTTTCCAGAATGACTTCAAGTTATAACATGAAACTACATTTTTAAATTCTAAGCCTTAAACTCATAACAGTATACATCTATTTATTGTATTAATTTATTACTCTCTGAACCATGTCTATTTATTATTTGCAACATTAAAACATAAATTGTAAATCACTTGGGGAATGTGTGGCTCACATTACACTATCAAATTACATTACCCATGTGCTATTTCAAGTCCTAGCTGCTCAAGTGTGTGCCTCGTGAAAAATTATCATTATTGTTTGTTTTACCTAATCTAAACTTAACTAACTTAAAGAGTTACTTATTTTTACATTTTTGTTACTTTTATAATAATAAATAATACACATGTAAAACAAGAAATAAAGTACTTACCTGGACATTCTTTTTTTTTTTTGCTGTTGACCGTTGATGACACTTACTTAACCCTGTTCTTTTTATAATAATGGTAGTAGTGCACTAAATAATTTTTACTTAATTAAATAATGCACCAAAGAACATAGAATAATAACATTCAAAAAGCAGACGATGTCCCATAACTATCACAAATTTTTTGGTTTTCTAACTATGCAACAAGAGCTGTTGCAAATTTATCCAAGCTAATTGATGT